TAAAGACCAAGACAGTTATTTTTATTTAACATGGTCTTAAATATGCAAGTAAAAAGTATTAGCATGCTGCTATTGTATATGAAGGAACATGTATATAAATGAAATCATTGAGATGTGTTGCTATGACTACTTTAAAAAATACCATACTGTGATGAAAGATAAATATCAGAAGTTGAAAATTTTAATTGAAATAATTCAGCTCCTCTTACTGCTTTCTGACTAGTTTCAGCTAGTTGTTTAAAAATGCAAATAATAGTACATTAATTGTCTGGTGTGTATGTATCATTTGAGCCATAGTCATGGCTTATATATACACATAGTCACTGCCACACTTTTTCACAGATTTGATAATAGAAATAAATAATGAGTAAATGTTTAAAAACCTAAAGTCTGAGAACATGGTGGGAGAGGAATCTCGAGAGACTTGATGACTAAATGGAATTTTAGAATTGAAAAGGGATGCTGGGAAGCAGTGGGGAGAGGAATGCTGGGGAGCAGTGGGGATAGGGATGCTGGGGAACAGTGGGGAGAGGGATGCTGGGGAGCAGTGGGGAGAGGGATGCTGGGGAGCAGTGGGGAGATGGCTCAGTCAGTAAAATGTTTGCAGGGTAAGCACAGAGACTTCGATTCAGATCCACAACATTCACCAAGAAAAGGAGAGATTCTGGAGAGCACATGTCAGATCCACTACACTCACCAGGAAAAGGAGAGATGCTGGAGAGCGCACACACGTTCTTTAATCCCAGCACTGGAGACTCAGTGGGAGGATCCCTGAGTCTCATTGGTCAGCCAGATATCTGTGTGCATATGCTCCAGGCTCAGTGAGAGACCCTGTCTCAACAAGATGGAGAATACCAGAGGAAGACCCTGACAGCGACTCTGGCCTCCACATGCACACATGCCTGTTCACACTCAAAAATTTAAATAAAATCTTAAAAGGAAAAGGACGCTAGGAAAAATAAGATACCATCAAATATGGACTTCAATAGTAAAAATGTATCTACCTTTACTCATTTGTTGTGACAAAGTGTATCAGAGTAATGTATAATGTCAACACTAGGAGAAAGTGAGTAAGGATTTCAAAGGAACGTTTGTGTTACTCTGCAAATATTCTGTAAATTGAATACAATTCTGGAGAAGCTTATCATGATATGAAAATACTTATAGAAGTTGAAAAAATATCAAGGGATAATTCAGAAGAAAAAATGTAACAGAATAATTAATAAATGGTTAGTATTCCATGTCAGCCTACATATTGTACCCAAAGAGTCTGAAACATGATTGAAAGTCCTGCAACCCTGGACTCACACAAAGGCTTAGTACTGACCAAACAGATTCAATGACTGCCTACTTACTATCCATTGTATTAGTAAATTAAGAATTGACCACACTGTGGACACAACTAGAGAATCCTCACTGTCTGCAGTGCTGGCAGAGCTGACAGTTACTTCAGCCTCTGTTGAAAACATGTGAGTAATATTCATTGAAATCACATGCTCTCACACTCAGAAATTCAAATACTATTCTTCGTAGCTCCTCTAAGAAACAGGAACACCCATTGCTACATGGTTTGTTGCGAAGAAAATTATGAAACTATACATACGTTTACAAATAGGACAATGAATACAGATAAAACACTGTGATAGTGTGTGTGTGTGTGTGTGTGTGTGTGCGTGCACGTGCACATACACACATACAATGGGTGAAATAGTGTAGCATCATGCATCAAAATCAGGAAGATTTATGCGTACTAACATGGTCAATTCCCCCTAGAGTTTTCAGAGGAAAGAAATACAACTGCAACATAGTAAATTTATTGTTGACACTTTAAAAAAAAACCACAAAATTATTTTATCTGTGAACCAAACATATGTAAATATATACAATGAATGCTTTGAATAAAATTTGAATATGTAAATACATCTCCCATTTTTATGTACATGTATAGTACATAGAAAGTAATGTGGATTATGTGTGCCACCTCCTTGACAGCAGAGGGTAAACTCAGAGAGATGATGAAGCAAGCTTTCTGGTCTGAGAGGGCTCTACCTGAGGTGTGCTGATAAAGGTTAGCTACTGGCATGCCCTTTAATGTGTCTGCTGACTTCCAGAAGGTAAATATACCTACTGTGGATGATTTCATGACTCTAACCATTCCTAAAAATCTAACAGTCTCTCCTAAAATATTACACCTCACTAGCTCTAGCTTATTGTCTTTCTTAAGTTGTGTAGTTAAAATTTAAATAAAAAAAATATATCTAAATGATCCAAAGACATTCCAGAGGCAGAAGTCAAAATATCATACTAAAACCTTTAAATGGCAAATACTTCTCTTGTGTCACTTAAAATGTCTAAGTTAACAAATGCCCAGCTAAGCTATTTGGTTGATGGACAGCATCTTCCTGACAATAGGGATAGATGATCTTAAAATACCTTTAAATGAATGTCTTATCTGCTTCATCACCCATAAGCTTCCTAGTCCATGAATGAAGGGTGAGATAATTGAGGATACTGAATTAATTTCCTACCCTTGTGCAACAAATTAGCATACACGGAGCAACTTAACACCATAGGGATTTATTTTCTTTCAGTTCTGTAATTCACAAGTCTGAAATGGGTCTCACTGTGAGGCTAGAGAATAAGAGAAAGTGAGGTCCAAAAGGCCTCACACAAAGGCTATAAAATTAGCATATGAAAGAAACCAGTTGGCAAAGGAGACTAGACTCTCCCACCCCAATGCAGAGGAGAAACAGTTAGGAGCACATGTAAGAGCTTACATTATGCAAATCACCCATAAAAGTCCCAGACCTTTATGGAATAGGCTCCTTTCTGCTTTTCCCCTTCTTACTTCAGCGCACTTCTCCCTTAAAAGTGTCTCCATCCTTACAAACCACCCCTGTTTCTGCCCCAGTTCTCAAGTCTCTGTCCAGATCCTGTTCTGGAACAGAAGAATTTGGAAATTCAGGTATATACTCACTGAACCCCAATATCTGCAAGTGTCCCGTGAGTAAAACCACTGGCTCAGTGAGTCCATTCTTTTCTTGGGATTTTGAGGAAGAATTCACTGCTTTTCCATCTTCTAGAAGCTTCTCACATTCCTAGCTCTTTCTTAGCACATACATCAGAGTGCTGAATGAAATAGGGTGCCCCTCCACAGCTATGCTTGAGATGGAATTTCCAGAGGGGCTCCTAAGTGTAAAGCTCCTGCATTCCCTCCTTTTTAATCCCCTAACACAGGGGAATGAATTGACTCATGCAGATGTAAATACTAAAGGCATAGCAAGGATATGAGGATGAACATGATAAACAAATGAAGAATTGGTGTTGTACATAGAAAGAACCAGGAAAAGAAGGATATGATTAGAAGTTCTCACCTACTTACAGACCCGAAGGTGAGAGGCAAATGAACACTCACTTGCAACCATACTGAGCAAGTATGGATTACAAAAGCTGACCAGAAGGAGAAAACAAAAATAGCTTTCCTTCTATATAGTGAAGGGATTTGTTCTTTCTCTGTGGGCAGTGATCAGCATTTAAGAGTGCTTGCTGTTCCAACTCAATTCTTCATGGAGTTAAAAAGAGCAATTCTCAAATTCATTTGGAATAACAAAAACCCAGGATAGCCAAAACTATTCTCAACAATAAAAGAACTTCTGGGGGGAATCACCATCCCTGGCATCAAGCTATACTATAGAGCAATAGTGATAAAAACTGCATGGTATTGGTACAGAGACAGTTAGGAAGATCAATGGAATAGAATTGAAGATCCAGAAATTAACCCACACACCTATGGTCACTTGATCTTTGACAAAGGGCTAAAACCATCCAGTGGTGAAAAAAAGACAGCATTTTCAACAAATGGTGCTGGTTCAACTGGCAGTCAACAAGTAGAATGCAAATTGATCCATTCTTATCTCCCTGTACAAAGCTCATGTCCAAGTAGATCAAGAACCTCCACATAAAACCAGATACACAGAATCTAGTAGAAGAGGAAGTGGGGGAAAGCCTCAAACACACGGGCACAGGAAAAAGTTCCTGGATACCAATGTCTTATGCTTTAAGATCAACAATAGACAAATGGGACTTCATAAAATTTCAAAATTTCTGTAAGGCAAAGGACACTGTCAATAGGACAAAATGGGAACCAACAGATAGGGAAAAGATCTTTACCAATCCTACATTCAATAGAGGGCTAATATCCAATATATACATAGAACTCAAGAAGATAGACTCCAGAGAACCAAATAACCCTATTAAAAAATGGGGAACAGAACTAAACAGAGAATTCTCAACTGAGGAAATGGCCAAGAAGCACCTAAAGAAATGCTCAACATCTTTAGTCATCAGGTGTGGGGGTGTAGTGTGTGTGGGGGTCTGTTGTTGGCTTGAATTGTGGGTCCACGTCTGCCTACCACCCACAAGGGGCTAAGGCTATGGCTCAGAACGGCAGAGGTGCAGGAAGTTGTCTGTGTTCATTCCACATAGGACATCAGGCTATGTTAAGTCAAGACTGAAGTTGGGCATAAGAGCAAGATTGGGCCTCAGCTGAAGTGGGGAGAGTTCTGATCACAGCTTGCTCAGCTTGCCTGCTTGAGTTTGTGGCCTCCATGGCTGGAAACGTAGAGAGGTCGTCCACAGGAGATTCGGCAGTGGCTCGGTAGTTGAAAACCTCCATGGTTCCCAATGGCAGGTCCTAGGAAAGAGAAATATAGTCCATAGTCTTAAGATATTGTCATGGTGGAAAACGGATGAAACTATACCCCAGTATCTTCAGGGTGGGCCTGAGGCTAAATACCTTTTGCAAAGAGGAGGGTCTGGGAAAGAATGTTTAATTGGCTACACCCTCTGGCCTTTAGGTATCTCATTAATACAGAGATATGTCTTGAGGCTCTGTGGCCTGTAGTCACACCCTCTACCTATGGAGGGGTTAGTAGGGGTGCCTAAAGGGTGCAAATCAGTGGAAGTCTTCATCCTTGTGTCAGGAGCCTGTGTCTGGGAGCATGGCGAAATACATGCCATTCCTTGCAGGGAAATCTGTGGGGTCTCCAACCTGCTGGGTCTCCTACCATTTCCAGTCGGTGCTCACCCAGAAACCTTTCACGGTTCTACAGTCCGGAAAATGTAAATCAAAACGACCCTGAGATTCCACCTCACATCAGTCAGAATGGCTAAGTTTAAAAACTCAGGTGATAGCAGATGCTGGTGAGGATGTGGAAAAAGAGAACTCTCCTCCATTGCTGGTGGGATTGCAAGCTGTTACAACCACTCCAGAAATCAGCCTGGAAATTCCTCAGAAAATTGGACATAGCATTACCTGAGGGCCCAGCTATAACACTCCTGGACATATATATCCAGAAGATGACCCAACATGTAATAAGGACATATGCTCCACTATGTTCATAGCAGCCATATTTATAATAGCCAGAAGCTGGAAACAACCTAGATGTCCCTCAACAGAAGAATGGATACAGAAAATGTGATACATTTACACAATGGAATACTACTCAGCTATCAAAAACAATGACTTGAAGAAATTTGTAGACAAATGGATGGACCTTGAAAATATCATTCTGAGTGAAGTAACCCAGTCACAAATGAACACACATGCTATGCGCTCACTGATATGTGGCTATTAGCCCAAAAGTTTGGAATAGCCCCATGTGGGGAGCAACAGTATCAACCAGCCAGACCCCCCCCCCCGGAGCTCCTGGGGACTGGACCATCAACCAAAAGAGTACACATAGTGGGACCCATGGCTCTGGCCGCATGTGTGGTGGAGAATGGCCTTGTTAGACATCAGTGAGAGGAGCAGCCCTTGGGCCAGTGTAGGGGAATGCCAGGGTGGGGCGGGAAGCCAGGAGTTTATGGAAGGGTAACCTCATAGAGGCAAGGGGATGGAGAAATGGGGTAGGTGTTTTCCAGAGGGGAGACAGGCTTAGCTAATCTAGTAAGAACAGGCTTTTAGGAAAGTAGTCTTTGGGCATGAATGCTTAGGGGGAAGAAAGTTCTGGTGGACAGTCTCTGCATACACTACTAACACCCACACATGGGTCAGAAGGGAAAGCATTCACATTGCCTTCTAAGCTTTACCCCTGAGGAGAAGACTTCAGCATTCCTCCATCAGTCTGAGGCTATGGAGTCCTTGATACGGTCATGACCATGTCAACACTACATATTCACTCACTTAAGTCCTTTCATTCATTCAGTTTTTTTATTGCCCTTACAATTTTGAGACAAAAGTATTAAAATTATTTTTAATGCAAATATAAAGGGCTTTCTCTAGAAAGCTAAAAGGAACCTATGACTATCTCTGTCTTTAAAAAAGAAAAGAGCAGCCAGCCGGGCAGTGGTGGCACATGCCTTAAATCCTGAAATACGGAAGACAGAGGTAGGTAGATCTCTGTGAGTTCAAGGCTAGCAGTCCCTTCAGAGCTAGTTCCATGACAACTAAGGCTACAAAGAAACCCTGTCTTAGAGAGAGAGAGAGACAGAGAGAGGGGGGGGGAGAGAGAGGATGAAG